GACTTAAGACAAACTTTCATCAGTTTTCATTTAATCGGTGTCTTTTTATGGCACAGTCATAATTTAACCTGGGTTATTTCTACAGTCCGTTTTATAGCGTGGCATTAATGTAACTGGGTTAGTTCTATGGCTCGTTTTATAGAATGAGATTAATATAACCTGGGATATTTCTACGGCTCGTTTTATAGAACGAGATTAATATATCCTGGGATATTTCTACGGCTCGTTTTATGGAATGAGATTAATATATCCTGGGATATTTCTACGGTTCGTTTTATGGAACGAGATTAATATATCCTGGGATATTTCTACGGCTCGTTTTATGGAACAAGATTAATATATCCTGGGATATTTCTACGGCTCGTTTTATAGAACGAGATTAATATATCCTGGGATATTTCTACGGCTCGTTTTATAGAACGAGATTAATATATCCTGGGATATTTCTACGGCTCGTTTTATAGAACGAGATTAATATATCCTGGGATATTTCTACGGTTCGTTTTATAGAACGAGATTAATATATCCTGGGATATTTCTACGGTTCGTTTTATGGAATGAGATTAATATATCCTGGGATATTTCTACGGCTCGTTTCATAGAACGAGATTAATATATCCTGGGATATTTCTACGGCTCGTTTTATAGAACGAGATTAATATATCCTGGGATATTTCTATGGCTCGTTTTATGGAACGAGATTAATATATCCTGGGATATTTCTACGGCTTGTTTTATAGAACGAGATTAATATATCCTGGGATATTTCTACGGCTCGTTTTATGGAACGAGATTAATATATCCTGGGATATTTCTACGGCTTGTTTTATAGAACGAGATTAATATATCCTGGGATATTTCTACGGCTCGTTTTATGGAACGAGATTAATATATCCTGGGATATTTCTACAGCTCGTTTTATAGAACGAGATTAATATATCCTGGGATATTTCTATGTCTTGTTTTATAGAATGAAATTAATATAACCTGGGATATGTCTATAGTCCACTTTATAGCCTGAGATTAACATAACCTGGATTATTTCTATGGCTCATTTTATAGAACGAGATTAATATATCTGGGGATATTTCTACAGTACATTGTATAGAACGAGATTAATACATCCTGGGATATTTCTACGGCTTGTTTTATAGAATGAGATTAATATATCCTGGGATATTTCCACGGCTCAACCGCTTCTCAGAAACAAAGAACTGTCTCTGTGCAGTACCTGAGCTGCAGGGCGCAGCGCCACGCCCTGTTCTGTCCAGCAGGCTGAGCGAGTTGGCCTTTCACTGAGGGACAAAGACAACAGACGACAACAAGCCTCTCCAGGTGAGGCATCAGGAGGTTATAATCAAATCTGGAGTTTAAAATCTGGAGTTTAAAATTGGATCTGGAGATCAAGCATACAGGTCTATAGTTTATAATCAGTCTGCATGATCTAGAGTTTAAAATCAGGTCTGCAGGTTCTGGAGTTTAAAATTGGATCTGGAGGTTCTGAAGTTAAAAATCAGGTTCTGTATGTTTGAGTTTGAGATGAACATGCAGTGTCTAGAGTCAGTTCTGCAGGATCTAAATGAGTTTTAAATCAAATAAAATAATATCTTAAAGTTCTGCAGTTTAAAATCAGAGCTGCAGGTTCTGGACTTTAAATCAGATTTACAGGTTCTGCAGTTTGGAATCAGACCTGTAAGTTCTAGAATCATTGTACATTATTCTGTTTTATTACATTTTTCATCAAGTACAAAACTTTGCTTTCTGGGCGTGGCCTTCCCGGAACTGAGAAGGCTTTCATCTGAATTTTTAAGTATCACCAAGAAACATTCTCAGACCCCCTTTATAATAACTGTGTAGTTACACATTAACAAAGCGTGACCCCTCAGGGTAGCTACTGCTGTATTCACTGTTACAGATGGATCTATAGCAGTATGTATATGTAAATATGTAAATACACACGTTTATCAACTTTCCTGTTTACTCAGGGATTATTAAGTGTATTTTGAAGTGTTATAATAACATAGTCAGTGTAATGTTACAAATACATTTATGATCTGCCTGCTGTCTTTATTTGTACACCTGCCTGTGAAGGTTCTCCCTCACTGTACTGAGTTTAAATACAGGTTCTGAAAGGAACAAAAGAACGCCTGATCTGGTCAGGCCAGTGTGTGTTTTTTTACCTCAAGCTAAATAACACAGGTTTACCACATTTACATCCACAGAGTCTGGATACCATAATAATAATAATAATAGTAATAATAATAATAATAATAATAATAACAATAAGAATAATAACAAAAAAGGGCGGGTCCAAGCACTAACAGCTCAATAAGGCCATATGGAGGTCTAAAGCAGTTTGGGCCTGATTAAAGGGAATCAGGGTGTATCAAAAGGCCTTCATTTGTCACAAATATAAACATTGTATATGCAAGTCTGTGTGTGCTGATCTTTCGAGGTTTGTAAAGCATACAAAAAATATTTTAACAAAGAGGTCAAAATATATGAGAAGCAGTGCAATTTCTGACTTTAGTTTTTGAGATGAAGCCTTTAATTTGCATGTCTAAATGAGGCCCACAGCACCCATAAGGGGCCTTTTTGGCAAAAAGGATAAAAGAGAAAGGGAGTCATAATTTGTCAGACGGTCTCCATAAGTTATTATTATTGATCAGGTGCCCTCAACAAAGACGTTTTTCGAGTATTGCTCAGATTAAGCTTTTGACTTTTGTATAATAAGCTCTCAAATCTTTGCTTTATATCAAAGACCTTGGAAAAAGCTGTGTCACGACAATTAAGCTCCTATTTGCATAGGAATCACATACATGGAAAATTTCAGTCTGGCTTTAGGCCACATCATAGTACAGAAACAGCACTAGTCAAAATTGTAAATGATCTATTATTATTCTCTGACCAAGATCATGTGTCCTTGTTAGTCCTCCTCGATCTTAGTGCAGCATTTGACACAATAGACCACACTGTCTTACTAGATAGACTAGAGAACCTTGTAGGGGTAACAGGAACAGCTCTTTCCTGGTTCCGGTCCTACCTCACTGATCGGTATCAGTTTGTTAATGTAAACGGTGAATCATCTGTTCTCACAAAAGTAAAATATGGTGTTCCACAAGGCTCTGTTTTAGGACCTGTATTATTCACATTATATATGCTACCACTAAGCACCATTATCAGTAAACACGGCATAAACTTCCACTGCTATGATGATGACACTCAGTTATATTTAGCAAGTGACCCAGATGATAGAATTAAACTTAGCAAGATTGAAGACTGTATACAAGACATAAAGGACTGGATGTCGAGTAACTTTCTTCTTCTAAACTCTGATAAAACAGAGGTTCTGCTTCTTGGTCCAAAAGCAGCCAGAAACAAACTGTCTAATTTAACACTTAAACTTAAAAATTTCTCAGTTGCATCAAGCTCATCTGTAAAAAGCCTTGGTGTCATTATAGACCCTGATCTGTCCTTCGACACACATATAACTAATATTACTAGAACAGCCTTCCTGCATCTCCGCAATATTGCTAGATCAAATGAATAAATCAATCAATCAACTTTAATTTAAACTCAGAATACATTACAATGTAGCCGAGCAATACAGAAATCAGGCATTGAGAAGTTGGGTAGTAAAAATAATTCAAATAATATAATTATAATAAAATAATAAAAATCATAATAGTAAAATTTAATAAGAAGAAAGTACCAATAAACCGTTAAATCAATAAACCATTAAAATTACAATACAGTAACCTAACAAGCAGCAGATCAGATAAGGATCAAACAAATAAAAACATAAATTAATGAAATAAATAGAAGAAGAATAAAATAAATAAATGAATACTAATGAAATAAATAAAAGGAATAAAAAGAATAACAAAAAGTAAAACAATAGCTAAGACATACCAAAAATGCTGCTGTGTTTAGCCTTAGGCTAATGTACTTTAGTCCCTGTTTATAGATTCAGTGAGTCACACTGAGTCAGAAACCACAGAATCAGGTCTATCAGAGATCCTGAACAACAACACAGTCTGAGGGTTTAAACTTTTGCAATTATGCTATTTGGCTGGATAGAAGCTTCCATGATGTAATCGCTACATTAGCCTCGTAGCTCCAGGGCTAAATCTCGGCACGCTTTAAGCGAACACATCTTAAATGGCTTAAATGGAATGTGACTGTTACGAACACACAGGGCTCAGTCTGTCAGATCAGTCTGTATGCTGAAGGTGTGTCCGAACACATTCCTCAGCGCCCACTGCACTGCGGAGAGACAGACGTAATCCGGGACATCCAGAATTATTGGCCAATCTGCTGTGGGGAGGGACAGCAGCTCTGAGTCTTACAGCAATCAGAAACTTTTCCCCTCACAGTAAACACCTGCCTCCTGGGTCAGCCTGAGGGATGAACGTGCTTCACGTGGGAAAAACGTACATTTATGTAATGTAAAGCTGTAATGTAAAAGTAAACAGTGTATAATGTGACTGAACATGGTAATAAAGTCAGTGTGTAATGTGTATAACCTCACTGTGTATGATAATAAATGTACATGCTGTGTGTTGTAAATGTACACAGTGTATAATGTAAATGTACACAATAATGTAAATGTATACAATGTATAACATATATGACGTTAAAATGATATGAACTCTTCCAGAAATGTCCGTACAGAGAAGAGCCCCCCGGCCCCCCTCCTGGCCCCCATACTGCCCCACCTCCTCTGCAGATGTTGTGGCGATGAAGAGCTTAAACAGCTGTTTCACACTGACTGACCGACTGCAGAGACGCAGCTTCCTGAGTGAGAGCTCTGATACCGAGAGACTCCAGCTGGGCGGGGCTGAGAGCTGTTCAGGTGTTTAGCCCCGCCCCTCTCAGAGGGAGATGGGCAGGTGAGGTGTGTGAGTATCAGAGGTGTGTGGATGGAGGAACTCAGGTCATTCAGACCGTCAGAGCTCCTTAATAAACCTTACAGCTGTTTACTGATCTGCTCGCCTGAACTCTTTACACTGAAGTCCTGATTCCTCAGTCATGTGTTGGGGACGCTGTACGCTGTGCTGGACTTCCTGGACTTCTCATTCCAGCCCGGCTGGTTTGGCAGGTAGCGGCGTCTATCTGGTCCGACCTGCTCCTTTTGTTTTGGAATGAACTGTGTGACGGGCACACGCCCGTTTCCCCATTTCTCCACCTGTCATACTCCGTGAAGGAGCTCTGGACAGCGTCCCCGTCCAGCAGTCAAAAAGGACCAACGCTGAGGACTTTCGGTGAGTTAAGGATTTCTGTTCTTCTGGTCAAATCTGCTCAGGCCATGATAAGAGGTCTTCTGTTTATTTCTTTAGGGACATATATACACACATATATATACACACACACACACACACACATACATATATATATATCACTGCTTTTGGAACAAAAGCTTGTCTCAATTTTTGTCATTTTTCAGATTTTTAAAAATTTTAAAGTAGCTGTTGGTCTTTACATTGTGTGTAAATTTCATTATGAATGGACCAAAAGAAACGGCCCAGAACTACTTGGAAAAAATTCTGGTTCCATTGACTTACATTAAAAGTGAAGTGTGTTTTTTTCTTTCTGCTGTAAAGTTACCATTTTGGAGAAACGAGGTTTCGCTCTGACAGCAGATACACACACACGCACACACACACACACACACACACACGCACACGCGCGCACGCACGCGCACGCACGCGCGCGCACGCACGCGCACGCACACGCACACACACGCACACATATATATTTATATATATAAATGAACTAAAATGCTAATGTCTAATTTCCAGAGTGCCTCATGTCACTAAAAATAAATTATTAAGGTTTATTATTTAACAACATCATCTACTTTTTTATCAGGTCATAAAGTTTGTTCTTCCCAAAACACTTCACTTTCTTCCTATTCCTGAAACAGACATACATCTGAAAAACCAGCTGCTATTTGTTACTGTTTATTTTTATTATTAATTGTCATTTATTTCTTACTTATTTTATTATTTCATTAATTGTATCCAAGTATCTTAATGTATCGGCAGAAAATGTGTGTTTCAATAATACAGTCTTACGCAGGGGTTCTCTAGAGCCATGAACACTCAAAGAACCATCTGCGAGCTTAAAGGGTTCTCTTCATGGTGAAATAGTTCTTCAGATTAATGACGAATGTGCTGTATCTGGTTCTGTGTAACACCTTTTTTGAAAATGGTTCTATGTAGCACTGAAAAGCGTTCTTTTAATGCATACAAGTTTGACACCTCCACAACAGAACAGCCCTTTTTGGTTTTCTATACAGAACCACATACAACACATTCTGCATCAACGTAAAGAACCATTTCACCATGCAGGAAACCATTTAAGCTGTGGCTGAGGTTCTATATAGAACCAAAGAAGCCTTGAGGAACCATCTTTTTCTTAAAATATGCAAAATTATCTGCAAATGTAGTGAGATAATATCACTTAAGTCACTTGACCCCTTAACATTTCAGGCTTATCTCCTACTAAGGCTTATTACTGAGTAACTGCAGGGACTTCAACACAAACTAATGGAGCTATTCTTAGACTATAGACGTGTGTAATAAAACTTCAATGGGCCCATGGCTTGGTACGGGGTTAAAAAAGTTTGGATGCAACTGGACAAGTTACATGTGACACGTGAAAGCCAGTGAACGTCAGAGAAAGCCAGTGAAAACCAGTGAAAACCAATGAAAGTCTGTGAAAATTTGTGAAAGCCAGGGAAAGCCAGTGAAAGTCTGTGAAAGCCCGTGAAAGTCTGTGAAGGCCAGTGAAAGTCTGTGAAGGCCAGTGAAAGCCAGTGAAAGTCTGTGAAGGCCAGTGAAAGTCTGTGAAGGCCAGTGAAAGTCTGTGAAGGCCAGTGAAAGCCAGTGAAAGTCTGTGAAAGCCCGTGAAAGTCTGTGAAGGCCAGGGAAAGCCAGTGAAAGTCTGTGAAAGCCCGTGAAAGTCTGTAAAGGCCAGTGAAAGTCTGTGAAGGCCAGTGAAAGCCAGTGAAAGTCTGTGAAAGCCCGTGAAAGTCTGTGAAGGCCAGTGAAAGTCTGTGAAGGCCAGTGAAAGTCAGTGAAAGCCAGTGAAAATCTGTGAAAATTTGTGAAAGCCAGTGAAAACCAATGAAAGTCTGTGAAAATTTGTGGAAGCCAGTGAAAGCCAGTGAAAGTCTGTGAAAGCCAGTGAAAGTCAGTGAAAGGCTGTGAAAATTTGTGAAAGCCAGTGAAAGTCTGTGAAGGCCAGTGAAAGCCAGTGAAAGTCTGTGAAAGCTAGTGAAAGTCAGTGAAAGTCTGTGAAAATTTGTGAAAGCCAGTGAAAGTCAGTGAAAGCCAGTGAAAGTCTGTGAACATTTGTGAAAGCCAGTGAAAGTCAGTGAAAGCCAGTGAAAGTCTGTGAACATTTGTGAAAGCCAGTGAAAGTCAGTGAAAGCCAGTGAAAGTCTGTGAACATTTGTGAAAGCCAGTGAAAGTCAGTGAAAGCCAGTGAAAGTCTGTGAACATTTGTGAAAGCCAGTGAAAGTCTGTGAAAGTCAGTAGGCTACACACCCTCTACACGCTGCACACTAAAATAAGTGTAAAATGTCATGTTTAGGTGTGTCTCTGGAGAAGACGTGTTAACTTATTTACACTCAATGACAACATGAAATTAGACAGACTTTTGCACACGATGGGGGAAATTCATTACTTGGCATGTAAACATATAACAGACATCTATAGACAAATAAAGACAGACTTCATAAAAAGATAAATAAATTAAAAAGATAAAGAAATAAAATCCACAGTGAGCACCTATCTGATCAAACTTAATCAAATGACACTCTGGGGTAGTGATAATGGAGGACCAACAGATTACAAGCACAGTGGAGGACATCTGAACATGGCCTTTTTAGAGTTTATAGATTTATTAACTACTCAGCTCATGAGACAAAAGTTTCAGACCCCAATAACACAGTCATTACTAAAAGCTGCTAATAACACCAGGGCTCATATTCTCAAAGTAGGAGCGCTGATCCAGGATCAGAGTCCTCTCTAATTCACTGTGACCGTACAGACAGGAACAGATCCCAGGTCAGCGCTCGTACTGGAACACGGCCCAGACCTCGTTCACTCACTGCTCTGCTAACACTGCAGTGTCGTAAAGGCAGCACCGTCTAAATAGAGGGTAATGAGAACAGGTGACGGCTGCGCGTGCTCAGCGCCGGGGGTCCGATCATCATCCCCCGCTACCCCCACTACTGTCTGTACATGCCTGTACAGCATAGGTGACAAAAAGCCCCCAAATGACAGTCAACTTTGTGTGTGCTGCTGTTTTCAGTGCAGACCTGATATAAAAGGCTGGACTGATTAACACAGGAGGATCTGACTGCAGCGCTCAGCACTGGCTGTGTTTTACCACTGCGCTGTGTGTTCTGGGGAGATGAAGTGTCCTTTCTGTACTGTGGAATCTATAATGATAACACATCAGACAGCGGGTTTACGGTTCCAGCAACATTGCCCTTTGGAGAAGGTTCTAAAGTTTTGAATAGATGGAAATAACTGAGGAATCAACTCAGATCAGCCAACAGTTACTAGTTAGCAGCCATGATCAAATGATGTCTACTTAAAGTTTTTCAGTTTTTACACAATTACAGAATTTTACATACATTGTTTACACAGCAGAGTCCAGGCTGCTTCCATTTTAAGTGATTTAGTGATCTAACTCCACAGCTAACACCACCACTAACACCACAGTTAACTCCACAGCTAACACCACAGCTAACTCCACAGCTAACACCACCACTAACACCACAGTTAACTCCACAGCTAACACCACCACTAACACCACAGTTAACTCCACAGCTAACTCCACAGCTAACACCACCACTAACACCACCACTAACACCACAGCTAACACCACAGTTAACTCCACAGCTAACACCACAGTTAACTCCACAGCTAACTCCACAGCTAACACCACAGTTAACTCCACAGCTAACTCCACAGCTAACACCACAGTTAACTCCACAGCTAACTCCACAGCTAACTCCACAGCTAACACCACAGTTAACTCCACAGCTAACTCCACAGCTAACACCACCACTAACACCACCACTATCACCACAGTTAACTCCACCACTAACACCACAGCTAACACCACCACTAACACCACCACTATCACCACAGTTAACTCCACCACTAACACCACAGCTAACTCCACAGCCAACTCCACAGCCAACTCCACAGCTAACTCCACCGCTAACACCACCACTAACACCACCACTAACACCACAGCTAACTCCACAGCCAACTCCACAGCTAACTCCACCGCTAACACCACCACTAACACCACCACTAACACCACCACTAACACCACAGCTAACTCCACAGCTAACACCACCACTAACACCACAGTTAACTCCACAGCTAACACCACCACTAACACCACAGTTAACTCCACAGCTAACTCCACAGCTAACACCACCACTAACACCACCACTAACACCACCACTAACACCACAGCTAACACCACAGTTAACTCCACAGCTAACACCACAGTTAACTCCACAGCTAACTCCACAGCTAACACCACAGTTAACTCCACAGCTAACTCCACAGCTAACACCACCACTAACACCACCACTATCACCACAGTTAACTCCACCACTAACACCACAGCTAACACCACCACTAACACCACCACTATCACCACAGTTAACTCCACCACTAACACCACAGCTAACTCCACAGCCAACTCCACAGCTAACTCCACAGCCAACTCCACAGCCAACTCCACAGCTAACTCCACCGCTAACACCACCTCTAACACCACCACTAACACCACAGCTAACTCCACAGCCAACTCCACAGCTAACACCACCACTAACACCACCACTAACAACACAGTTAACTCCACAGCCAACTCCACAGCTAACTCCACCATTAACTCCACAGCTAACACCACCACTAACACCACAGTTAACTCCACAGCCAACTCTACAGCTAACACCACCACTAACACCACCACTAACACCACAGCTAACTCCACAGCTAACACCACCACTAACACCACAGTTAACTCCACAGCCAACTCCACAGCTAACTCCACCACTAACACCACAGCTAACTCCACAGCTAACACCACCACTAACACCACCACTAACACCACAGTTAACTCCACAGCTAACTCCACCACTAACACCACAGTTAACTCCACAGCCAACTCCACAGCTAACACCACCACTAACACCACCACTAACACCACAGCTAACACCACAGCCAACACCACCACTAACACCACCACAGTTAACTCCACAGCTAACTCCACCACTAACACCACCACCTCCACAGCTAACACCACCACTACCTCCACAGCTAACTCGACAGCCAACTCCACAGCTAACTCCACCACTAACACCACAGTTAACTCCACAGCCAACACTACAGCTAACACCACAGCCAACACCACCACTAACACCACCACTAACACCACAGCTAACTCCACAGCTAACACCACCACTACCACCACCACTAACACCACAGTTACCTCCACAGCTAACTCCACAGCTAACTCCACAGCTAATGTTCAAACTACTATCAGAAACAATCTTTGACACTGAAATGACACTGAGCATAAAATAATTATTAAACAACACTCAGTTAACTGCTCAGTTATACAGAACAGTTGATGATTTCAGTTACATACCACATTTTTGCTTACGTCAAACTAACCAACCAGCTGACGTGTTTGCTAACCCCAAAGCTAACTTTTATTCTACCTTCAGAAAAAATCTAATTTTGATAAAATCTATCAAAAACAAACAATACTCAGTTACACAGAACAGTCGACGCCTTCTTAAACTGTTAAAAGCTCACATTTGCATGCATCAGGAAACTAACTGAGCAGCTAACTCCTCCACTGACCCCAAAGCCCTCATTGTACTTTCAGTGTAGTCTGATTTCAACCAGAGCTTCACAGGATGTCCTGGTCATGTTCACAATATAGTTAATTAATGAATAGACATATAAAGAACACTCACTCAACAGCTAGCTCTTTTGCTAACTCCAAAGCTAACTTTCATCATCAAATCATTCAGAGGCCGATACTGGTCAGGTTCACGGCTGGTTTCAGCCCTCAGGCTCATAGTCCTCAGGAAAATGACATTCTTACATCTGTATCCTGTTGCATGTGTGCTAACTTCTCCTGCTGACATCCCAAATGTGACATTTTACCACTGAATACTATCTGTAGATTTTCTTCTATACTTACCTGCACTGTTTGATGAAGCATCCAAACCTGTCACAAACCCAGGGGTATGTCTGGAGAAGTGAAGTTTATTCTTGCATGCAGATATCCAGACACCTAGCCAGCCCGTAAAACTGGACTGATGTAGTTTTATAGCTGGACTGATGCCAAGATTAGGCCCGACCTATACATGAAAGTGAGAGGAATAAACAAAAAATAGGCAGAACAGAATGATCCAAATACAATCACAGCAGAGTAACACAACCCTGAACATAATGACAACACACATCACAGAGCAGCACATTCCTCCAGTGAACAGGTACAGGTGGTAAAAGACTGAAGTGCTGAAAGAGTTCAATAGCTCTCAGTTATGTACCATGGAAACAATAGACATGTTGGTGAAACTCATGTATCGTCTTTCTCTCGTCCCTTAAGGCCAAGAAATGACGTCCAAACCTTCCACCGGACGCCTTCAGCACATCGTCATAGCCAGCGCTCTGCTGCTGTGCTCTGCAGTTATATTCTACATGTACTACAAGCCGACCATGAGCTGGTTGCCATGCTCTGATACTGCACTACCCAAACAAGACGTCTGTACAGAGGAATGCCTCCGCATCCTTAAGGTGGAGAACCAAACCCAAATTATTACTAACTGCACATCAGTCCAGGAAAAGACACCAACCACTCAATCACCAGTTTTGGAAAAGGAAGACACTACAAACACACATGAGCCTGAGATAGTAGTCTTAGTCTGGAAGTGGCCTTTCGGAGTGCCTTTTGATTTGGAATCCTGTGAGTCAAATTACGGTATCAAAGGTTGCCGTTTAACGCTTGACAGAAATGAATATGACAAAGCCCACGCTGTAATGTTCCATGTGAGGGACATCGGAGGCGAGGTATCGAACCTGCAGACATTATCTCGACCCCCACGGCAGAAATGGGTGTGGATGAACATGGAGTCTCCGGCTAACTCGCCACGACTGCCTGGAGCAGATGACTTATTCAACCTGACGTCAAACTATCGGAGAGATTCAGACATCTGGGTGCCTTACGGACAACTAATAGACATCTCTGAGAAGGACGAACCCTTTAAAATACCAGAAAAAAACAAATTAGTCTGCTGGATCGTCAGCAACTGGAACGGCAACTTGAAACGAGTGGGTTACTTCAATGAACTGAGCCAACACATCAAAGTCGAGGCCTACGGACGGCACTTTGGGAGGTACATTAACAGTGAAGATTACTCCCAAGTTGTGTCGAGCTGCAAATTCTACCTGTCCTTTGAGAACTCCGTCTATATAGACTACATCACAGAGAAGCTCTTCAACCCAATGAGACTCGGCACAGTTCCCGTGGTTCTTGGTGCATCCAGGGAGAACTATGAGGAATTTGTACCAAAAGATTCCTTCATCCATGTGGATGATTTCAAAACAGCACAAGAACTGGCAGAACATCTCAAACTTCTGGACCAGAACCAGGAGATGTATGAAAAGTACTTTGCCTGGCGAAAAGACTATGTTGTGAAAAACTCTAACTTTGGTCAGGAGCATGCTTGCCGTATTTGTGATCATGTAAGGAGGTACAAGAATTACAGAGTATTCAAAAATGTTAATAAGTGGTATTGGGGCTAGTTGTAACATCAGCTTCTAATTTTAGATTTTAATTAGAATCTAGATTAAAATTAAAGAATCGAGATTCATATGCCAAGACCTAAGCCATATTTTTATTATTATTATTTTTTTAATTTGGGAATTAGCTCTCAGTAACTGATTTATCCAGTGTATACGGTTCTAAGGCAGCTGAAGAACTAACAAATCAACATAGTTCTCATGACGTCTGACATGAACCACTATATCACTGAACAATGAATGGCTGTCAATCTTAACATGCTTCATTGGATGGAATATTCTATCACAAAGCAATGTAAAAATTCATGGCAAGACTTTTACATTTTAATTTTATATTTTTTTAAACTTTTTTTTCTGGTGGAATTTTTAACACTGATAAAAGAAGGATTGTGTTTAGATATTCCCTATTTGCTGTTTACCTCAGGGGTGTGTATCACTGCCATTGTTGTTTAATTTTAAAGTAAGTAACCTGGCAAACTTGAAATTCTTCTAATTTAATCTTTGAGTTCATTAAACTGAAGTTATTAACTTAAGTTAACAGAATATTAATTTGTGTTTTACATTTTAGCTTATTATTTATAGTTTATTAAACCCAACATTTAACGTTAACCCAGTTATTTACTTTTTGAGTTCGAAGCTGCTTCATTTTTCTACAGTGTGCATGATTTTCTCATGATTTCCTGCCAGAGACTCTTTTGTTTATGTACTTTCCATTGAAAACAGCCATTAACTGATTCATTTTTCAGCATCAAAAAAAGAAAACATATTTAACAAACTTACCCAGAAGCCTCAACAGCTAACTCTACTCTCAGCGTGCCACTCTTTCCCTTTATTCCAGCGTCCATTCTTTTCAGAAGACTCACTTCCAGTTCCTCAAAGAATCTGCAGACACACCTCCAAAGTTCAGTCGTAGAAGCTGGTTGATCATTTTCTGAAGTGATCAAACACATTCAGTGGTGTTGGTGTTAGTATTATCTTGCAATAGAATGAATTTCTACCAAATCAAATGTTTTGCAGAGAGCGTTTGATGTCCTTAAATTTGTTTGTACTGATGCCTTCAATCAAAAATAAATCACCAACTCCAGATCCCCAAACTTGCGCTGATCCTCCAGCCTGCTTTATAGAAGGTGGTAGACAGTTCGAAGAGTCCTTCACTGCTTCAACAGTACACACACTGTACTTTCCTGTTATTTGCTGTTAAATATTTTCCTGCTTCTTTCCTGGTGCTGAAAAATGAATAACTTGTAACATTTGCACTGTATAGTATGAAGATGAAACTGTGTATTTTTGTTCATGTAAAACATACTAACAGTGAGCAAAACCAAAGTTCAGCTGTAAGTAGAATCTGTGTCTAAAGACAGAATGAATGTACTTCTAAATTGTGAAGAAAGCTGTATCCGCTGAATGTATTTGCTGAAAATGATAAGCTTCAAATTGTGCCATACATTACATTGGAAGATTCATATTTAGCATTTTAAATACTCAGACTCTGGAAAAACATCTGTTCTACTACTGCACATCCTTTGATACCACTGACCATAAAAATCCTATAGACAGAATTGAGAACTGGGTTGGGCTTTCAGGAACTGTCTTAAAATGGTTCAGTTCATACCTGCAAGGAAAGAACTGCTTTGTTGAAATAGAACATAATATTTCTGAGAGAGTGTCAGTGACCTGTGGTGTCCCCCAGGGTTCAATTCTTGGGCCACTCTTATTCAATTTATACATGCTGCCTCTTGGTCAAATACTACAAGACTATGGCATATCTTATAACAGCTATGCAGATGATACTCAGACCTACTTGGCCCTCTCCCCAGACAACTATGGTCACCTTGACTCACTTTGTAAGAGCCTTGATCTCATCACTAACTGGATGGAGCAAAACTTTCTGCAGTTGAATAAAAATAAAACAGAGATAATTTTATTTGGGAATAGCAATGAGATGCAAAGACTAGCTGCTTATTTGGATTCAGGAACCTCAAAATCTAATGAACCAGTACGTAACCCCAACAGGGTCCTCACTTCTGTTTAAGGTCCGTTTCTATGGTTTTTAGGCAGCTGTGTCAGCAGCATAGTTCACTACCAGCATAATGAGCTCCATTTATTCCTACTGTAAAACGCTGCTTTCACTGTGAGATGATTTTCTTTTCTAACTCTGCGTTTTAAAGATCTCAGACGCTGCAGACTGGATCTAATAATTTACTCGTAAATCGTAATTTACTGAAGGATGTCTATGTGAAATTTAAATCCACCTCATTTCCATACAGCTTCCTCAAAGCTTGAGTTTCAGTGTGTAAATACAAAAGTAGGATTAAATATAGCAAAGTAATCAAACTTCACATTTTTTTAAGGAAAAATGTTCTAATTAATCTAAAGATATGAGATTTTGTACCATTAAAAAAGGTGCTGTGCTGGTACCAGACGCTGAACACCTTCACCTGTGAAATTTTATTATTAAATTGTAAGGCGTCCTGGTTAAGACAGTCCACCAAAGGCCTTGAACTATAAAAAAACAGGCAATTTTCTTATTTGTATTCACAAAAATATATATATATATATATGTTCAAAATACATTTGAAAGATTTCAGATATAGACATTGATAGGCTGGGCGACTACAAACTATTTTAAAGTTATCTGCTACACTCTGTAAAAAGATTGTTCTTTAGTAAAGGCAGTGGTCCAGTATAGAACCATGAGCACTCAAAGAACCAGTTGTATGCTTGAATGGTTCACCGCATGCTGAAATGGTTCTTCACATTGATGGAAAATGTGTTGTATATGGTCCTATACAGCACCAAAAAAGGTCCTGCTGCTGTTACAAGCTTGACATCTATCTAGAACCACATACAACACAATCTCCATTGACCTGAAGAACTATTTCACCATGCAGGAACAGCTGAGGTGAAGTTATAATAATCAAATATATATGTAAAATGCAGTTATTAGTATGAGTTATTATCTGTGTTCCGTTGTGTGTAATGAAGGTTCCAGATGTAACTAAACGTACTGACTTCTGTGATCTGCACTGTACTTTACATTAACCAGTATCCTGCTCAGACAGGATTTTGGATATTTTCATACATTTTCAGATGGATTTAATAAACACATTTACATTTATTTTTGTCTATGTGTAATATTTTCATATACATTTTTAAATAAATGTATTTTAAAGTATATCTGGTTAATATGGCAAAATATTCTGAAATACATTTTAGTGTTTGGATGTATTTCAGCATCGACCGCAGAGTGTTTGAAATGTGTTTCAAATATATAAAAATACCTGTCCATATAACAAACACCTGTGCTGACTAGCATTGTACTGAGTGATGGGGGGAGGTAGGGGGCCGTCCAGCCCATCCAGAGAGAGCGAGGACAACTGTGCTCTCTTGGACATGGGGCCACGGACGACTGTAGCATCAAAATCATAAAAAAGCAAAGGAAAAGAACAGAAAATGAAAAAGAGCCATTATCAAAGACTGCATGTTTCCTCTCTCTCCATTTCTACCAGCTCTTCTACACGACTCATTTATCTGCAGCTTTTATGTATCTTAAAAGTGAAATAATTACTCCATCTGCACTGTAAAAAAATGGCTCTTCAGTTCAACTGAACAAATCACACTGGTTGAAAGATTCATTCATTCAGTTTTTATTTAGGTTGAATAAAACTAGTTAATTCACTTGTCACCACTTTTTGTCAGTTGAATTGATGAGCCATTTTTTTACAGTGTGGGGAATTTTGTCAGTAACTTTCCACCTACAGCTCAGGGCTCAGGCTGGGCTGGTTTTAAATGGGCTGCCTTAAAATCTGATATCATTGTAATTCAAACACTGAGCGAACAGAACGAAGCATGCACTGTTCTGTTAACTGACTCTCACAGCGTCAGGGAACTTAAAATAGGCAGTTTACTCACTTCTGTGAGATAAAATGATTATTGTTGTTTACAGTGGAGTAGTTTTGCCCTTTGTCTATTTTTACACATAAAGAGTCAGGTGGATGTGGCCCTGAAGTAAACTGTAGATGATAAGAGTGATGTGTGGTCAGGGTGAAATGTGAAACGTTAACATTCAGTTAATAAAGTTCAGGGTGATTAAAGTTCAGGGTGATTAAAAAAAATTGAGGCTAAAGGTTCAAGGAGGTTCTGGACAACTATCCGGTGACTATTGCATGGACCTCAGGAACAGTACCCTTGGAGTGGCAGACCGGGGTGGTGGTCCCTAATTTTAAGAAAGGGGACCGGAGGGTGTGTGCCAACTACCGGGGTATCACACTGCTCAGCCTTCCTGGGAAAGTTTATGCCAAAGTGCTCCTCAGATTGAAGAGGCACAGTGCGGATTCCATCCTGGCTGTGGAACAATGGACAAGCTTTTCACCCTCTCACGGAATGTCGAGGGGGCGTGGGAATTTGACAACCCAGTCTACATGTATTTCGTGGATTTGGAGAAGGCTGTGTTCCCAAATATATCTTGTGGGATGTCCCCTGGAAGTATGGGGCACTGGGGCTACTACTCCAGGCTATTCAATCTCTGTAGTCCCTGTGTGAGAGTTGTATACTCTGCATTAAGTCAGGCTCATTCAGTGTTAGCGTTGGACTCTGCCAGGGTTGTGCTCTGTCTCCAATCCTGTTTGTGATATTCATGGACAGGGTCTCAAGGCGTAGCCGGGGTCAGGAGGGCATTACGTGTGGAGGCCGGAGGGTGGGGTCCCTGCTATTTGCAGATGATGATGTCATTTTGGCTGGATCACATGAATGCCTCCAGCACTCGCTGGAGTGATTTGCAGCTGAGTGTGAAGCGGTTGGTATGCGGATCAGCACCTCCAAGTCTGAGTCCATGGTCCTAGCCCGGAAAAGGGCGGCATGCTCACTCCAGGTAAGGGGAAAGAACCTACCCCAGGTGGAGGAGTTTAGGGAGGCTGGGACAGGCGGCAGCAGAAATGTGGTCACTGTACTGAACTGTAGTGGTGAAAAGGGAGCTGAGCCATAAGGCAAAGCTCTCTGTTTACCGGTCGGTCCCGACCCTCACCTCTGGTCATGAGCCGAGACCGAAAGAATGAGATCGCGAATACAAGCGGCGGAAATAAGCTTTCTTCACAGGGTGGTGGCTACACTCTACTGACAGGGTGAGGAGCTCTGTCATCCAGGAGGAGCCCAGAGTAGAGCCGCTACTCCTCTGCATTAAG